GTCCGAAAGTCTTAAAGTTGCCAAGGTTGGAGACCACTGTTCTAGAAAGCCAACCAACTGTAATTTATTCAATAAAACAAACTGAAGCAAACTGAATTAAGCAAATTCAATTAAGCAAACTGAAACTTGGCTTGGTACAACATGTGAATTCAATCTATATTCCTAGTGATTATGAACTGCAGTAGAAAAACCAGCTTTTATAATGTCACAAATTATTATCTATTACCACATGAATAAAATGTAAATACTGAATACTCCAGAATGAAACAAGCAAAATGGGTCAAATTCTACATTGTTACTCGATTCAGTTCCCCAATTTCGAAGAATAGAGGGAAATAATAAATATTTCTCTGACAAGATTTTACAAATATCTTTCAGAACAGCAGAACTCCATCACTTTTATCATCCTGGGAACAGAAACCAGCTGACAGGGAACAATATTAAATACCACTAAAGTTATATTTGCACAGTGAGGTTCTACCACTACCATGCAAATGCAGAAATATATTATGACAGAGAAATGTTGCTTGGACTGAATACAGTACTGTATAGTATATCAGCTCAGGCAAGAATTATTTTCATTCTCTAATGCTTTCCAAGATAGGTTACTGAAGTTCACTGACCGAGGCTGCCCACCTCTTATAGTACTATATTTAATATTACTTTTTTAGACACAAGACACAAGATATAGGCTATTGTAGTAAAATAAAACTTAACCAATAGTTCTCAAACATTCAGTTACTAACACCACTGGTGTTCTGAAGAGACTTGACCTGGCTCCTTTCCTGGCATTTAGCAAGGGTGAGTGAAGCCCCCTTGGATACTTTTTTTTCCTTCCTGTTCCTATCCAATTTCTGTCATGTTTGCTATCTTTTACTTTTTCTTTATTTGTTGTAACTGTTTAAAAATGTTTTTACTTGTGAACTGCCTAGACATGGTGGGAATTGGATGGTACACAAATTTAATAAATTAACAATTCAAAAGGGCTAAATTTAAGGATGACACACACAGGAGTATGCAGAACAGTCAGTCAGCCCATCAATCAATTTTACTCCAGTCTCAGGGCCAATCAGAACACAAGATTCGTCTTCTCAGTCAAGAATTCAATAATGACAGAGAAGGAGGAGAACACTGAATCATTGAGGTCATATTTAGTATAGTATGCAATGGCATGACACCAAAATGTGAGGTAGATTACTCAGCATGTGATATTCACTTAGCCTAGCAAATACTTGCGGATTATATTTATAATCTCCAAACACATTTGCTTTATTATAACCTTTTAAAAATAGCAATAAGGTATTTTGTATTGAAATGTGATATTTGATCCCCCCCCCCCCCAAAAAAAAACCCCTAGGGAAAAATACTCTCTATGTATTAATTTAGATTTTGTGAAACTATGGACTCACTTGGATTTTGGAGAAATATATTTGACTTCCTTGTTTATCTGAAACATGTTTATCTGTAGGTCAGTTAATACAATCTAGTAGAACATTGCTTCTGCAATGAGAAATGCAGTTAAAATAAAATTAACCTTTTGGAACTGAAGCTGAAACAAATTTGTTTGACTATAATGTGAGGTAAGGAAAATCTGTTGCATCCTGTTTATTTATTTATTAAATAAATTACCATTTTTTAAAATCAAATTTATACAGCTGCCCAAACAAATGTATGGACCACTTAGCCTTTATATCAGAGATGGGCTATATGTGACCCTCCATTTAATGTTCAAGTTCCATCAGCCTTAGCTAGAATACTAATTGAGAAGATAGAAGATACCAAGACTCCTAAGCAGTCTACACAAAGAAAGGAGACTTGAAAATGGTTAAGACTATCTGTTTTTGAATGAATGAATGAATGAATGAATGAATGAATGAATGAATGAATGAATTCTTTATTGGCCAAGTATGATTAGACACACAATGAATTTGTCTTGTTGCATATGCTCTCAGTGTACATAAAAAGAAAAGATACATTCATCAAGAATCATAAGGTACAACACTTAATATAGTCATAGGGTACAAATAGGCAATCAAATCATACTAGGAAGCAGTCAATATAAATTGTAAGGATACAAGCAACAAAATTACAGTCATATAGTCACAAGTGGGAGGGGTGGGTGATAGGAGTGATGAGAAGATTAATAGAGATAGTAATGCAAACTTAGTAAATAGTTGGACAGTGTTGTGGGAATTATTTGTTTAGCAGAGTGACGGCGTTCGGGGAAAAACTGTAGTTGTTCTGGTGTGCAGGGCTCTATAGCATCATTTTGAGGGTAGGAATTGAAAAGTTTATGTCCAGGATGTGAGGGATCTGTAAATATTTTCACAGCCCTCTTTTTGACTCGTGCAGTATACAGGTCCTCAATGGAAGGCAAGTTGGTAGTAATTGTTTTTTTCTGCAATCCTAATTATCCTCTGAAGTCTGTGTCTGTCTTGTTGGGTTGCAGAACCAAACCAGACAGTTATAGAGGTGCAGATGATAGACTCAATAATTCCTCTGTAGAACTGTATCAACAACTCCTTGGGCACTTTGAGTTTTCTGAGTTGGTGCAGAAAGAACATTCTTTGTTGTACTTTTTTGATGATGTTTTTGATGTTAAGTGTCCATTTTAGGTCATGTGATATAATAGAACCTAGAAATTTGAAGGTCTCTACTGTTGATACTGTGTTGTCTAGTATTGTAAGAGGTGGTAGTATGGGAGGGTTTCTCCTAAAGTTTACCACCATTTCTACGGTTTTGAGTGTGTTCAGTTCCAGATTGTTCTGGTTGCACCATGAGGCTAGTTGTTCAATCTCCCATCTCTATGTGGATTCATTGTTGACTCAAATGAGACCAATCACTGTTGTATCATCTGTAAACTTTAGAAGTTTAACAGATGGATCATTTGAGATGCAGTCATTGGTGTACGGGGAGAAGTGGAGAAAGCACACAGCCTTGGGGGCCCCCTGTGCTAATTGTACAGGTATCTGATGTGATTCTGCCTAGCTTCACCTGCTGCTTCCTATCTGTTAGGAAGCTTATGATCCACTTACAAGCATGTTCAGGTACTGCTAGCTGGCTTAGTTTAGTTAGAAGAATGTCTGGAATGATGGTATTGAATGCTGAACTAAAGTCTATAAAGAGGATCCTTGCATAGGTCTTTGGAGATTCAAGATATTGTAGCACATCTCTAATGATTTATTGAAGATTCGGGTGAAGATGGGGGCCAATTGGTCAACACAGACTTTTAAGCAAGGAGTTATCTTGTCTGGGCCTGGTGCTTTTCCTGGCTTTTGTCTGTGAAATAGATCTTGCACTTATTTTTCTGTGATCATCAGGGATTGTGAATCCAATGGGGTGGAGTCAGTTGTGGGAGGTTTGGCTGTTGTTGGTGTGTCTGAGATGGGGGTTGTGGAGATAGGTGGCTGTAGTTTCCTTTCAAACCTGCAGAACACATTCAGGTCATCTGCCAGTTGTTGATTTCCTTCAGCCTGGGAAGGAGGTTTGATGTAGTCGGTGATATTTTTGAGAGTTTTCCACGTTTGCTGGTTCATTTGTTGAGAACTGATTCCTTAACTTTTCAGAGTAGCTTCTTTTTGCTGCTCTGATCTCCCTTGTTAATACATTTCTGGCCTGACTGTTCAGCATTCTATCACCTTTTCTGTAGACTTCCTCTTTGAAGTGATGTAGCTGCTTAAGTTTAGCTGTGAACCAAGGTTTATTGTTACTTTATATTCTCAAGTTTCTGGTTGGTACACATAGGTCTTCACAGAAGCTGACATATGATGTTACAGTATTTGTGAGTTCATCTAAGTCTGCAGAGGTATCTTCCAAAACATTCCAATCAGTGCAATCAAAGCAAGCCTGTAGCTTTAGCTTTGCGTTCTCAGTCCAAGTCCTCACTGATTTAATTGTTGGTTTCGTGGCTTTAAGTCTTTGGCTGTAAGCAGGTACAAGGTGAATCATGCAGTGATCAGAGTATATCCCACAGCTGCACGTGGTAAAGATCGATAAGCATCTTTTAGTGTTGTGTAGCAATGGTCTAAAGTATTCTAGCCTCTAGTGGGAAATTGACACGCTGAAAATATTTTGGAAGCTCTTTCCTTAAGTTGTCTTTGTTAAAGTCTCTAATGGGAAGAGAATCTGGATATTTGGCTTCAGACTCCATAATCTGGTCAGCCAGAGTTCGTAATGCCTTGTTTACACAAGCTTGTGGGGGAACATATACAGCTGGAGAAATGAGGAGAACTCACATGGAGAATAAAATGGTTTACAATTGATAGTTATATCCTGAGACCAGCTGTTGTTGATATATAAACATAAGCCTCCTCCCTTCTTTTTGCCTGATGACTCTGTAATCCCGTCAGCTCTTATTATCTGAAACACTGGGATATGCATGCTGTTGTCATCAATTTCTTCATTTAGCCAGGTTTCAATGAAGCAGAGAGCTGCTGAGTTGTAAAAATTAGAATTGCATCTATTTAAAAGGAGTATTTCATCCATCTTTATTAGCAAGTGAACATAAATTGGTCAGAAAGGTTGAAGGGAAAGGGGTTTCCCCCCCCACCCCCTTACTCAGCTTATTCAAAATTCCCGCTCTTTTACCTCATCTCTTTCTCTGCCGCCTCTTTCTCCATTTGTTTATTGTAAACCATT